CACGCCGTAAGCCATTGCTTCCAAGAGGCGTCCGGCTCTGATGCGCCCTCCTGGCCAGCTTCCAAGTGGTCTTTACACGGCCCATGCAGTTTTTCAGGGCACGCTCAAAACACGACACCACCCCATAAGTCATCTTGCATCACCCAGCCAAAGGGAAGCTCAACCAACGTTGGTCCAAAAAGTGATGTTGAAACCGCCCGTAAGGAACAAATCAGGAGCTGATGGAGTGCCTTTGGGGGGTCAATGCTGATGGATTCAGACACGACGGCAAATGTGTATGCGACAACGACACGAGGGACAGCCACTGTTTCGCCCTAAACTATTATTGATATTCTCGCATGCCCGTCCACCTCAATATACGCGATGCACTTCTTAAACCAAGATCTGGTCAAATACCTGAATTCTCTTTCTGGATGGCCCCTTTCCCCACATCCCATGCAAAAAGGGTCATCTTCCTTTGACCTGGCAACTAGTGGGGGTGATCTGTGCAACTTGTGGGTGGCCGTGGCAGGTGCTTGGTTCGGGTCCAACCTCATCTCCCCCAAGGTAAACTTGAATGTACCCTCCCGGAACCTGACAGGGAGTTGACCATGTTCCTTTTAAAGGGACCCCTGTCGGGTTCCATGTTTGAAGTCTCTCTCTCTCTCTCTCTAGAAATGGCACCACCTCCTGATACATCTGAGGAGTACCCAAGTCAACAGGGCAAATAGAGCTCCCAAAGAGTCGCCTCCAAACACTGCCTGGGCCCTGTGCTGCATGAGCTTGCTTGCCAAAAGCCCCAAAGGGACTGCTGGACCAAACAAGCTGGAAATCCAACTTTCCCTTCAAGTGGCGGCAGTTGACTACGTAGTGGTTTCAATTGAACCGATCGCCGCTTTGGGAGGTCCCAAAACGGAAAATTGAGAGAAACCTGTGTTTTTTTCCCATGACGTTTTTTTGATTGTTTGGTTGTTGATTTTTTTGTGGGGGGTGGGGGGAAGCACATCTGTCTAACCATGCGCCAAGAGAAACCGATGTGTGGGATCCTCCCTGTTGGTGGAGGGGGGGGCGGAAGTTGGCAAGTTGGTGGCGTCCTCCTGGAGAAAGTGTCGGGGAGTTGGGGAGAGGTGGGTTGGCGGACAAGAGGGTCCTGAAGGAAAAAACAGTGGGGATTTGCAGAAGGCCCAGCTAGGTAAACTCACTTGTGTTAGGTTCTAAGAAACCAGCAAAAAATGACAATTATTCAGGAACTTATGGTTTTTGGAAGGTATTTTGCCAACGTCCGGCGAAATTCCTGCGGCTGGGTTCTATGAATGGCTTGCGGAAATGAACACCCACAAGCCCCACAAAATTGGCCTTTGCAAATAAACAAGTAGTCAGGTCAGTCATAATCAACACCAGGTATTACAACTGGCTACCATGGCTACCCCGAAAGCCACGTAAGGAATCAAAAAGGCGGTTGCGCCCATTTTTATGGTTGGGACTATTCCTTACTAACCTTTATCTACCCAGGTTGGGATGGCTTGGGCAACTCTCTCTGGGGCCCGAGTCCTGGTTGCTCCAGCGGCCGGCCGGGCAGCGTGTGCAGAGGTTGCCCCCGCCGAAGGTGCCCTTAGGGCACTTGGCACAGAACGCGGTGCCTGGAAGACGAAGCCGCCGAATCCGCCCCAGCTAAACCCCTGGGGGAAGAAATCAACGAGGCTTCGGTGGAAAAGTCGCGATGTCCACAGCTTCCATGGTTTTAGAAGGCTCTGCGGCAAAGGCCAGGCCGAAAGTGCTGCAAGTTCGTGCTGCTTTGCTGCTACCTGGGGGTTAACCTTTCTGCTTGCAAGGGGCGTTCTTCTACCCCACACGACCTCTGCCCCCTGAAGCCGGATTTCTGTCAACCTGGCTGGTGACCAAGGGAACCAGGGGGTTCAAGGTTCCAGGGAGGCAACGCATCAGCCCCTATCCCCAACAGCGACCACTCCGATCCCATAAACCTAGAAAGATCCGATCCCAACAACACGCCTATCTCTCCTTAAGGTTTACCTCAAAGAAACAAGCTGCTGGATTCATCTAGGGATTGGGGAAGGACTTGTTCTTGAACCCTTTTAAACACAAACAACTGGGGGGTTCAGAAATTCCCTTTAACTTTAGATTCTTTGAAAAGCTTTGTTCTATGAATGAACCCTTGGCTTGCAAATGCGGGGGGGGGAAAAGGCGGGGTTCAGTCCATGGCTGCCAGCTCGTTCAATTCAACACCTGAGTCATAATCAAAACCTGGTACAAAAATGGTCGACCCAGAACCATGTAAAGAATCAAGAAGGCGGCCGCAGCTATTTATGGCCGGGATTGTCCCTTACTACCCTCCAATTACCCGGGTTTTGAGTGTGGCTCACCTGGCACTCCAACTCCGCGCCTGGCAGAAAGCCACTGCCCGGGGAGCAGTCGACCGCGCCTCCCGGATGCAAAAAAAATCCGAACCGCGAGGAAAGGTTGATGAAACCAAGGTGACACAAAAAAGAGGCAGAAAAACACACACGCACAAACAAACAAAGCATGTGGTGGTGTTCTTCTCTTCTCATTCTGGTTTTCCGGTGGAAACGGGTTTTTGGCCTGCCACAATGCAAACACCCCAAAAGAGATCATAGCTCTTGAGGAAACGAAAGCCAGCCCCAGGAAGGAGTCTTAGAACTTTCTTAGGGGTTCCTTCGAAGCTTTCTGCCGGGTTCTGGGAAGATGGCCGCTGAAGACTTGCATCCAGGCCTACAGACTCGAGGCTCGCAACCAGCAGTGCCTGAGATTGGAGCAACTGGAGGTGACATCTTCACCGCTCTGGGGAAATGGCCATGGGTTTTTTATGGTCAAAATCCAAAGCCCGTACCCCCGGTGAACATCCCAATCCCCACTAAGATAGGTTCTAAAATGGGTGGTGCACCTACCCCAAAATGGGATCCCATTGGTTTTGACTCACAGCCTAAATGACTGCACTTCCCAAGCCGAAAGCAAGGGGACCACCCCCCCCCCAAGCAAAGGATCTTCATCAAAGGTTTACACGCAGCATACACGCAGCCACACACTCCACTTGTCCGTGGCCAACATGCAAGTGACAAATCCGACTTTAGCTAATCTACATAATAATTTTGCACGGCCAAAGAACAACTACCTGGAACTACATCCTCAACGCGAGGCTTCGTGGCGCCAACCCATCGGAAAGCTTCTAGCGCTTGCCAATGACCTTCCTTGGATGCCCCCTTTCTTTGGAGGAAATTCAAGGGAGCAAAGGGAACGAAGGTACGGCCCTGGAGAAACAAGGGCGCCGAAATGTGCCGAAACAGAGGGGGTACTGAGGTGAGGACAAGATCGACTTTCACACCGACTTGGTCGGAAATAGTGATTTGCAGCAACTTATTGGCTTCTTTCTCTCCTCTTTCTCTCTCTCTCTCTCTCTCTTTCTCTATTTCTCTCTTTCTCTCTTTCTCTATTTCTCTCTGTCTCTCTCTCTCTCTCTCTATCTCTCTTTCTTTTCTCTGCTGTTGAGTCCAAAGAGTCTTGGACATCTATACCTTAAAACCAACAAAAAGGGAGTTACTAATTAAACAAGACACACCCGGGTGACTTCGGACGGATCGGCAACCAACGCAGTTCCGACTTTGCCGAGCAGCCGCCCGCATTCCAGGTGGCCAGGCCCAGAGTGAGCATTCCGCGTGCAAAATGGCAACGTGGTGATGAAGTTTTGCGTCAAAAGCGTTGGAGAGGTACTGCTGGCATGGGGGGACTGCAAAGAACAAAGTCTGCTTGATTCGGTCCAATTCGCCGCAAAAAGCACACAAACGAGCACAGCAGCAAGCGCTTAAGCGCGATGACAAAGAACCAGGCAACCATGACTGTATCATGCCCAGCTGGGCTCTCGTTTGGCTGTCCCTTCTGCTTTCCGGCGCAAAGTGTGTGTGTGTGTGTGGTACAGGCCTTTCAAACATCGGGCCCTACTGGGCACCGTTTTGTGAGAGCCAAGGGACACAGACCTTTGGTTGCAAATGTCAAGGAGGTTCCTCTTTGATACGTCCCCTTTGCTTACGCAAAAGCTCCTGGTGCCGAGGTATCGCTTTAGGTAATTAGAAAAAGGGTCCCTGCCGGTGTTTTGTCGTTAGGCATGTCCAGACTCTCAGGAGTTCCTCATTTCTCCGCAAGCGGTCAAGTCAAGAGCCCTTTTGCTTCAAGCAAGCTTCGTAGAAACGCGCTTGTCTTACTCCACTGGCCCTCGGCTACGCCACAATTTTGCTTGGCTCGTTGCCACTTCCTGAAGAGCGGCCGTGTTGCTTCCTGTCTAGGATTGATTCGGGGAGGCCATGAGAGTTCGGCATGAGATCGCGCAAACTCTGGAGCCGAAAATGCTGCGAGCGGTGTCGCGCACCTGATAATTCTGCTCGTCTCATGCCCGAGGAGCCCAAAGACAGAAGTACAGAAACCCTTTTTGGAAAAACATGTTCCTTTAGGAGGGTCGCCGCCCTGCTCCGGAAGGGTCGCTCCCTAGGTTCTTATTTGGTGCAATTCCATGTTGGGGTCACCTTTTCGGGCCCTAAAATTAAGCTCGAAAGGCATTTGGACAAGTGAACCTGGCCAAGGTGTGTCTGCTCAAGATGCTCGTTGGCCAAGTTGTTCCTGAAAGCTCCAGCCACACGTAGGTACTGCCCTGCTAAACGGCCTGGCTAAAGGACATAAAGGGGTCTGCTAAAGAAACCTAGAAACGTAAATTTCAAAGACTGAACACCAAACTGCGGACAAGGACAACTCTCGGCAAGCTTGGACACTGAAAAGGCTGCTTCCACCCAGTATCTCTCTTGGTTGCTGTTGACCCCCTCTGCCACTGAGCAACAAGTGCTGAACTGTTGGTGATGGACATTCCGATCGGTTTTATTCCCAATAAGGGGAAAGTCCTTCAAATGGAAAAATCCGACCTGTTTTATTCAAAAAAGAAAGAAAAACAACTTAACACGGACAATCCGACCTGTTTTCTTCCCAAAAAGAAAAAAACATCCTTAAAGATCCGTCACCAAATCGCCACGCTCTCTCGCTCGCTCTCTCAAGGCCGGCGCCGCCCCCGGGATCTGCAGCAGCACCACGGTGGGCGCTTTCGACGTGACGCCGCGGACCAGCGCATCGTCTCGGACATTGGAGTCGTCCGGGCCAAGCGGAGGCGGACACACATTTGAAGTCAGTTAAAAGCATGGTCATCCCCTGAGATTGGCTCAAAAGGGCTTACCCTCCCAGAAACCAGAAGCAAATGCCAAATGAGAGGCGAGGTTTCTCCACAACCAAATGCCAACCCTCCCAGAAACGCCTTGGGAGGGTTGGCATTTGGTGATGGAAACACCTCGGCCTTTCCGCTGGCCCTTTGCCCACCCGAAACCCGATGCCACCGAGCCGCTGTCAAGGCCAAGGTCCAGGCTAGAGCCTGAGGTCACAAGGCCAAGCCTGAAAACTGGCAGCTTCTCTCAGGCTTCCAATGCCATTTTCGCCCTCCCCCTTTGAACTCTGGGGTCTTTCTGGTGGCTTCAGCACCCCCCGGAGGCTCCCGTGGCTCGAGTCGAACTTCGCAAACTTCGCCAGAGCCGCGGTCCGCCCCTTCCGAAGCGTCCTGGGAGTCACGTTTCGGGGGTTTGGCATCGGCGGGGCATGGGGCCGTGGGGTGAAATCAGTGGTCACAAAAGGGTCGCCGCACGGCCGATGGCCCATGGAAGAAACACAAACCAAACAAATCGGCATGTGCATGGGTGCTCGCTTTGTTGTTCTTGTTTTTTTTGGTTGGGGATCTGATGATTTTCTTTTGAGGCCTGCTAAAGGGTACACAGATTTAAAACCACGCGCCCAACATGCCAAACGTTTGTAACAACTGATCGCCGATTCGATTGTGAGCTATGCGGACCGGAATATGTTGCATGTGGACAAGGCTTCTCTACTTTGGATATATCGAGGCAAGGTTCAGTGACAAGTCTGTTGAGCCAAGGAATTTCAAAGGTCCCTGTGGATCGGCACGGTTCGTTCTAAAGCGATCTCAAAGGAGTCAGCAGCCTGATACGGCTGGCGAGGTTGCGGCTACGGCATCTAGTACCAGCTTCCGCTCTGCTTTGCATTTTAGGTGTGAGAAGCAAATTCGACCCAGCAAAGGCTGAAGGTTGCTTAGAACCAAGTGCGACTTCATGAACACTTTTCTTGGTCTGAAAACCGATGGAGTTTTCAGGTGGTTTTTCTTTTGCTCTCTCTTCCTGAGTGGATGGGCCAAACAAAAAGTCTGAACTGTTACTTACCGCCAAAATGGTCCAAGCCCAAAAAGTGACTAACGTCCATGAACTCACGGAGTGAGTGCTTCATCATCTCGCACAACACTGAAAGTCACCTGCACGCAGCCCGCAAGGCCCAATGCCCAATGCAGCTGCATAGCTCTAACTTGGAACCTGGCTGAGGGGCAACAGGCAATGGTCCTTTAAAAGGGGGCCTCAGGGTTCCAACAGGAGGGTAGGCCAATCCCCCCCCCCCAAGCCAAAAAACAAATCAATCCGGGATCATCTTGTTCGTCCTGACCAATTCCAACATGAAGAAAGAGGTCGATCCTTCTCAGGCCCGGAACCAAAGCAAGGCAAAAACCTCCGGCCGGCCCTTCGCACCGTGCGTCTGCTCCAATCACCACGATCACTAGGTCAGCCGAGCTGGCCAGCGCTGCCGCCTGAGAGAAGCGGTTTTCGGATAGCTCCCTGCCTCTGTCCCTCTGGTTGCCCCTGGTGTATCTCAAAAAATGGGCGATTCCTCCAGATGGTTTCCAATTCGTTTCATGTTAAAACCAGCCAAGAAGGGGGGGCCTATTTTGAGACACCCCCATATCAGCTTCTCAGTTTCTCTTCACCCAGAAATAAAGGCTTAGCCTTTTGCGGCCATGACTGAAGTCCTCTTAGTGGTGGTTTGGATTGGTGGTTTGGAGGTGTTCCGGAGGGTGGCTTCCCATTTACCCTCTACAAGACCCAGGAGTTCAAATCCCAAATTTAATCCAAACCACCAATTGGGGGCAAGAATAAGGCCTTATCAGGCGGGTGGTTCAGCGAGGGTGAGGCGAGGTGACCCTGGGAATATTGGGAGGTGAGTCCGGAAATGTCCGTCTGAAATCCACTTTCAAGCATGTGAACAGCACAGGCACCCTTTCCAAGAGGACCCCGAATCTTTCACAAGGGGACCTGTGTTTGCTGGCGTTGGCGTAACAACATCTTGCAGATTTTCGTTTGCCAGGATTCAGAAGAGACGTATTTGACAGAAAAAGTTCTTAACAACCTTCTAGGAACCCTTTCTAAAAAGCTTTATGGACATGCCCTGTACATGGTGGTTTGAAGAGGGAAGACAACCCAAAAGCAACTCCTCAAACGCAGACCTTTACGGGACCCGGAGCCTCCAGGCGAGCCATGTGTGTTTCTTGGCGACTGTAGCGCCCAGAGGAAGGTAGCACGCATAGACTGAAACAGAACAACCGCATGATGGAACCGAAAGATCCCTCTTGCATGCCAACGGGCCCATAGTCAAGTTGTTTTTTGCACGGAAGGGGTGGGGGCCCCATTCTAGAGAGGCCTTAGTACTTCTTAGCCCCGCCTCCGCAGCAGTGTCGCCCTCTGGCTTGACCACTTCGATCTCGTCTTTCGACGCCCTCTCCTGCAGATTCGGATCCATTGAGGTCTTGAAATCAAAGATTATGGGAGGCACCAGCGCTCGCAAGTTGTTCACACTGCCAAGTTGCCTGCAAGTCAGGTGCAAAGCTTTGGCAGGTTTTCGCCAAGCTAAGTGCCTGATGCATAGACTGCTTGATCAAAGAAAGAGGGTTTGCATTGAAGTCAACTCCGGATTGATCCGGAGGAGCACAGCAATTAGGGTGAATCCGCCTGTTTTCAGAGATTCCTCTGCTGTGTGCTGTGCCCTGGACCCAAAAAAAGCCAGCCGACCTTGAGACGCACAACAAACGCGCGCATGTTGCGACTCCAGAGCTCCTTGATTGCTTGAAATGGAGTCCTCGCAGAGGAGTCCGGCTGCACAAAGCCCGAGCCTGCAAAGCGTGCACTTTGCACAAAGCTGCGAGCACCTGACGCCCACGTGATATTTCACCAGCTAGCCTGAAGTAAGGACCCATACGGGACAAGTGAGGGGCCTGCATCACGGGGCTTAAGCTCGTGTTCCCTTGTTTGCAAGATGCCGGATTTTGCGAAATTACCAAACATCCCAACTGCAACTGCAACAGGAACCCCGCCTTTGCCAATGTACGACGCATGCGCTGCATCATGACAGGCCTTGCCCACGACTGCAATCCTGCGACAGGGCCAAGCGCACGCTACTCCAAACGCTGCACGACCAAATGACATCGAAACTCTCCTCCCGTCCTGCTACAGAATTCAGACTTGCGCGTGTGTGGTGCATGTGACAGTGAATAAGCGTGTGATGTTTGTGTGTGATGTTTGTGTGTGTGTGTGTGTGTGTGTGTGTGTGTGTGTGTCTGTGTGTGTGTCTGTGTCTGTGTCTGTGTCTGTGTCTGTGTCTGTGTCTGTGTCTGTGTCTGTGTCTGTGTCTGTGTCTGTGTCTGTGTCTGTGTCTGTGTCTGTGTCTGTGTCTGTGTCTGTGTCTGTGTCTGTGTCTGTGTCTGTGTCTGTGTCTGTGTCTGTGTCTGTGTCTGTGTCTGTGTCTGTGTCTGTGTCTGTGTCTGTGTCTGTGTCTGTGTCTGTGTCTGTGTCTGTGTCTGTGTCTGTGTCTGTGTCTGTGTCTGTGTCTGTGTCTGTGTCTGTGTCTGTGTCTGTGTCTGTGTCTGTGTCTGTGTCTGTGTCTGTGTCTGTGTCTGTGTCTGTGTCTGTGTCTGTGTCTGTGTCTGTGTCTGTGTCTGTGTCTGTCTCTGTCTCTGTCTCTGTCTCTGTCTGCGTCTGCGTCTGTGTCTGCGTCTGTGTCTTTGTGTGTGTGCGCGTGCCTGCGCATGTGCGTGTGAGTGTGCGTGTGTGGGTGTGTGCGTGTGTGCGTGTGCGCGTGCGTGTGCCTTTGTGTGTGTGTGTGCGCTTGTGTGTGTGTGTGCGTGGCTGTGTCTGTGTCTGTGTCTGTGTCTGTGTCTGTGTCTGTGTCTGTGTCTGTGTCTGTGTCTGTGTCTGTGTCTGTGTCTGTGTTTGTGTCTGTGTTTGTGTCTGTGTCTGTGTGTTTGTGTGTGTGTGTCTGCGTGTGTGTGTCTGTTTGTGTGTGTGTCTGTGTGTGTGTATCTCTGTGTGTGTCTCTGCTGTGTGTGTGTGTGTCTCTGTGTGTGTGTGTGTGTCTGTCTGTGTGTGTGTGTCTGTGTGTGTGTGTCTGTGTCTGTGTCTGTGTCTGTGTCTGTGTCTGTGTCTGTGTCTGTGTCTGTGTCTGTGTCTGTGTCTGTGTCTGTGTCTGTGTCTGTGTCTGTCTGTCTGTGTGTCTGGGTCTGCGTCTGCGTCTGCGTCTGTGTCTGCGTCTGTGTCTTTGTGTGTGTGCGCGTGCCTGCGCATGTGCGTGTGAGTGTGCGTGTGTGGGTGTGTGCGTGTGTGCGTGTGCGCGTGCGTGTGCCTTTGTGTGTGTGTGTGTGTGCGCTTGTGTGTGTGTGTGTGTGTGCGTGTGTGCGTGTGTGCGTGTGTGCGCGTGCGTGCGTGTAAGCGTGCGTGCGTGTGTGCTGGCGTGGCGTGGCGTGGGTTTGGGTTTGGGTTTGCGTTTGCGTTTGCATTTGCGTCGCGGGTGCGGACGCGGACGCGGACGCGGACGTGCACGTGCACGTGCGTGCGTGCGTGCGTGCGTGGGTGCGTGGGTGGGTGGGTGTGTGTGTGTGTGTGCGCGCGCGTGTGCATGTGCGTGTATAACTCTCTATATAATGTTGACTCTTGTGCCTTGCTAAGCACATTGCGGACTGCTCCACTCACAACGCAATGCACATTGCTGACCGTTGCACTGCGGAACCCCGGCCTGTGAACTTTGCCCTTGCTCAGCGGCAAGAGGCTGTTGGTATTTTTCAGCAACGTCACAGCCGACCTGGCGCTGCAACAAAGATGGCCCATGGAATGAAGAGCCCGTCTCACGCCAGCACACTTTAGTTTCGAGGCCTCCGCCTGTAGATGTAGAGCTTCTTTATTTCCTCTTTGGGGTCAATGCAGAAGAACAAACAAGCAAGGGAGCAGGCAGAAACTCACAAACACAGGCAGACAGACAGACAGACAGGCAGGCAGACAGAGCGAGAGAGAGAGAGAGCGAGAGGCAGGCAGGCGGCAGAGACAGAGGCAGACAAGCAGTCAACAAACAAACAGACAAGCAGACCGATAGACAGAGTGACTGACTGATTGACTGTGAACAAGACGAACTGAAAGTCTGCACACACACACACATTCTCCATGTCACAGGTTGGGATATTTTGGGAAAACCAAAGCAAGAGGCACTTCCATGAAGTCTCATCCACGCAAAGAGGTGCCACTGTTCAGCTGGAAACACCAACCCAGCAGTTCCACTTCCCTGTTTCGTGGGTAGCCAAGGGGCTTCCCACTTCAACAACGAAAGCAACATGAAGGGCCCGTTCTTCTGTGGTGAGAGTTTCCTGCAGCCGAGGTCGCCGAGGTCTCAATGCTTGTGCTTTTTGTCTGTTTCTAACCTCCTCTCCAAAAGAAACCTAAAACCAGGGAAGTCCCGCGAAGCAACCCACCCCCAAAAGAGTTCACAGCCCCAACCCTCAGAGTCTCATAGGTGTCCTTTTTGGGAAAATAGATGGGTTTCCCTGGTAGTTGATTGAACCACCAGGTAATCCAGGAATCGCCCAACCTATTTTTCAACCAAATCAACCAAAAAGGACACCTACGCCAACCCTCTTGCCGTCTTCTCCGCCCTTCACGCCGCTGGGCGTCCCAGCGCGGCGGCGCGGAAGGCGATCGCCCCGTGGCCCTGGCCCTTGGTGATGGCCTTGGTCTGGTCACTCGTCAGCTCCTGGGGAGTTGGTCTGCCACTCTGCACGCATCCCTCGGTGCAGAAAAACGAGCCGTGTTCGTTTTCTTCTTTGTTTTGGGCAGGGGGGGTGTTGTTTTGTTTGCTTGGGGGGGGGAGCTGCGTTTTTTTTGTTTTTTTTTTGTGTTGTTTTTCTTTTTGTGTTCGTTTTTTTTTTGGGGGGGGGGCAATTGGGAAGCGTGTTTTTGTTGCTCGCGGCTTCGGGCATTTGCTGAGAAAGACCTAAGAGCAAGGAGAGGGGTGGGGTAGAGAGGAGAGGGGGGAAACCCCATCCTTACCAGGCAAAACAGGACATCACATCAATCGTGGTGGAGGCAAACACCCCGGGGGGCCAACAAATGGTTCGTGACACAGTGTTCTTCGCAAAACAATTGGCCATGTTGAAAACTATTTTGCTTGGATGAACTACTGTGGGCGTGTCTTTTTCGAGGGCACCATTTTACCCTTTAATTCAAGGGAAGCCAACAGAAAAATAACATAAAAATTGGGGGCACCTCTACTTTAAGACAAACCCATGTTGACTTAGGATGAATAACACGTCCCTGCTTGATTCATAGGAGCCTGAATCGAATCACGTTCAGAGGAACCCTCCATGAATCCGATAGGTTCGGAAGTGAAGCCGCTGATGAGTTCCATGGCATGGACAGGGGGATTGTTCCCCCAAGCGCATTTCTGAGTCCTCAGACCTTACTCTGAGGATGATGGGGTCTCGGCCTTGAGTTCCAACCACCTTCAAGAGAGGCGGTGAGTACGCCCGAAACGTCCGGTTTCATGCTGGTGGACAAGCGAGGAAAGGCTTCTTTGGGGCTCCCGGGGCGTTTGGGCTTATAACGTGCGGCTGTCTCGCTTGCACCTACTTCACGAAATCCACCTGGAACCGCGCGCGAAGCAATGAGGGCCCGCTACTTTACCGCTACTTTAGAACGCCTCAACATCCCAAACGTGGAGCCTTTGCCAGGCTCACCATAGAACCCCACCCGTCTCCTAAGTAAAGCGTTCCTGCAACCTCACTCTGGGGAAGGGGCCGGGGGATCATGCCGGGAAAGGGCGACTTCAAAAAGCTGTCTGCTGGGCTCTGGGCTTTGGGTTGGTCCCTGGAACAGGCTTGTGGCCCCTAAAATGCTTCGTTCTGTTGTTGGCTTCCCCTGAAAAATAATATTAAAAAAAAAACACCAGTCAGAAACGCCCAAATCATCCCAAATCATCCCAAATCACTTCAAACACTGGACCTGCCTGGCATGGCAGAAGTGGCAACCTAACACATGTGCTTGACAATCATGGCCAGGTCATTCCTGGGATGCCAGGAGCAAACAAGCGACACACAGAAATGCTCAAGACTGGGTGCACCTGCCTTGCTGAAAGGTAAACTTTACAGGTGAAACGCCCCTCTAAATTCGACCAACACCAATGGACCGGCTTCAAGTACTCCCTGGGTGTACGATGCGACGCGTTTTTCGTTGGTGCCTGTCCTTGGTGCAGTTGGGTGGCGCGCAGCCTGGCTCTAAGTCGAGGCCCAGGCGGAAGACGGAGGTGAGGATGTGTCTGGCCGCGCCCTCCTTCACTTTCCGATCCTGGCAAAAACCGGTGCAAGCAGCCAGCCAACCAACCCAAGCCAAGCCGCTACCGCGACCCAAATAATTCACCCTTTTTACGGTGGCTCAGTGGCCGCAAATCCCAGTATAGGGGAAAAACAACCTGGTGGTACTGGCGTGGGGGTCTGGGGAGCGGGCTTTGGCTATCACCTATTGCACCTTGAGACGTTGTCTTAGGGGCTTATCATTGTCTAGTCCCATGCCATTTCTTGAAACGCAATAAGAGGAACATCCAAAGCAGGCAAAGGCAGACCCGAAAACATTTCAAACCACCCTTGGGCAGTGCATTTGTTTGGATTCTCAACCCGGCAAATGGGGCTAATGGGCTAATGGCCTTGGCGACTCAACTCCAAATGAGTCCGTTCCCCGACACATGCGCGATTCGCAAGTTTCTGCTACGAAACACCCAAGGGACACACAGGTACGTAACAAACGAAGGTCGAGGCAAATGAGGTCAAATGCTTCAATTTGATGCATGTCTTGTCCCTAGGGCGGGCACCAAGCCAGTGATCACCTTGTCGCTCAGGATGCCATACTTGTTGCCGAAGGGCAACTTGGCGCGGCGTCCAAGGCGGATGCCCCGCGGAGTCCAACAGGAGCTCAATCCAAGGCAGGGGGGCCGACTTCGGGGCAAGAAAGGCATCGGACAACTTTGGATACACCATGTACGTTCCAACAAAGAAATGTCATATCATAGTCAGCCCTCAGGGCCATGTGTCTCAGGACGCACGCGTGAAACATCAAGCAGAAGTTATATAATGACTCAAGAGAATGCGGCCATCCTTGTGGACAAGGGTCCCCAGAAAGCCCTGCGTTTCTACCTCTTGTTTGACCTCCATTTGTCCTTTGGCCTCTCCCGGAAAAGGTGGGGGGGGTGGAAAAAACCACTGCCTTCCTGTGGACCACTACGGACACCACTACCCCCTTCGGATTTTCCTCAGGTCAGGCACGTTGATGAGGCCAGGCTGCTCTTGATCAAGGCCAGCAGCCAAGGCTTCCTCAGACGTAGAACTGATTGCCTCAATATGGGTGTGTTTCTTTGAGCCTCGGAAACATAGTTGGAGTGGTGCTTAAAGGAAAACAGAAAAGACAACCACTTCCTTCCTGTGCTTTGATTTTGTTCTTTCTTTTTTTTGGGGGGGGAGAAGCGATTTCTCTCTAACTTGAGACAGGTGCCCATATTGGATTAGACTCATGAAATTGGGCTGCATGTCAGGAAGCCCGCACACCGCATGTCATAGAGGACTGTCTGTACAAGTGCCGTGCACCCGCACGCATTGTTTCAGGATCGGAGGAATTTCATGAACAACGGATCTTCAACATCAAGGGCTCCGTCCGTTCCGTCAGCGACTCTGCAAGTAACATCAGGAACCCAGAGAGCTGGAGAAAGTCTAGAACATCCTGGAGCCAAACATGGCCAATCTCATTCAAAGGGTGCGGTGGGAGTTCCTCCAGGCGGCTGATAGCAATGCACACACACACACACGCACAAACCACTGGTGTCACGCCACCAAAATGCAAGCCTCCGATTGCCGCACATTCAACGAGCACCGGCAGGACACCAAGCAATTGAACGGGACTAGAAAAACCACAAATCCCATCCACCTTGTTTCCTTGTGCCCAAATTTGCCCAGGTTTTGCCCACTTTGGCGCGAGCCAGCCATGCGCGATTGCTCGCAGAAACTCGCAGGACCGCCTCCAAGCGAAGCGGCTGGGGAATGCATCGCCAGCCAGTCGGACATGACGAACCCGTGAAAGCCCATCTTTGATCTAAGATCCTCAGCGAGCCGAGCGAGGCCTTTGCTGCACTCTTTGCGGGAGTATGAAGGGGTCAAGAGAAAACAGTTTGAAAGAAAATTGACCCCCACAAATCCAGTGGGCTTTTCCATGCGAAGGGGCCCCTGTCTTTCATTCAGCTTTCATGGAACCCCCGGCCCTCCCCACCAAGTCCAGATGCCTGAATCTAAGAGCTCGGCCTGCGAGGCCTCCAAAAACGACCCTTCGTGGGGGGCTCAACTTTGTTCCGCGGCAAACAGAACACCGCCCATGCGAATTTCAGCTCGCGTGTCCAAAGTCTCCAAGGGCCACGGCACTTCCAGGCGTTTTTACTCCCCTTCAGGCGGCTCCACATTGTCGCAGATATGGCCTTCCATCCCGACTCCGGTACGCTGACCCCGGATATAAGTGAAACCTGTGCTATTCATAGGGGTGGGGGCCCGCCAAAAGTGAACCCCCACAAGGAACATCCCCGGATTTACCAACCAGGCGTTTATAAATCCGGGGTTCCCATTGGAAGGCAAAAATATCACAGATTCAAAGGGCTAACTTACAGAAAAACCTACAGGAAATGCCCCAAAAACCCTAGTTTAGCAGTTGTCGTGTAGAATTTATGCAACCCAACCCTTTGAAAGCTGCTTCAAACAAAGGCGAAGATAGCACGCCAAAGTCTAATATTCCTAAACCCTGAGGTGGGAAATCCGGAAAAGGACGCGAGTAAGCCCTGCGCGTTGGTGAGGATCTCGGAGTTATGGCATGCATAGGTGCCATTCACCTGCCACGTGCGCTCAAAAGATCTAGGGTCCCCCACGCAATGCATTCGGGGTTTATCTAATTTCCCCTTCAAAAAATCGCCAAATAGTCCGCGGATAAAAGAACATCAGCAGCGAATCTAACAATATCAAAAAGGTGGACTTCCAAGGTTAGGGCCCCCGTTCTTTGAGGGGGGGGCGGTGCAGAAAGTGATCACGTGTTTGCGGGTGTTACGTGGAAAATGGAGAAACCCCCCCAAAACAAACAGTCATTCGCGGATTCCCCCGAACGGTTCCCAAACTTGGAGAACCTATCCGAGTCCGCAGTGGCAGTACGTCTAAGTCGAAGCGTTGCCCAGGTCTTGGGACCTTCAACACGAATGAATTCAGAACCTGCAAACTTGCTGGTGCTGAGAGCAGGGACCCTGAGCAGGGAATGAGGGAATGAGGAAATGACCCGAGAAAAAAAAAAAACTATGGTTCATTCCCTCATTGCCTACCAGCAAAGCAGATTGCAATCTAGATCCTTGCGCGCGCCTTGTTGTAGGCGCACATGACGGCGCCCACGCCTGCCTCTACAGCTGCCCTGGCAGGGCAAACAAACGAAGACCAGCCCGTGCCGCAGTGAAGCTGTTGGAATTGCGTATGGGCACTCAGGATTAATATGATTTTGATTCGGGGGTTTCCATGGAAGAGGGAGCCACGATCACTTTGGGGAAAAACAACACACATTCATGATAGAACAAGGCATCAAGAGCGGGAAAGGGCACACCGCCCTTTCCAAAAACCCAGGAAGACCACATTTCACCTCATAGTGGCAACACCTGACTCCACCCCAACGTTTTGGGCTTGATCATTCTCAGGAAAACTACCTGTAAATACTTCTGCAGTATTGAAAGGTTGAGACAATTGTTTTTGTAATTTTCTGGCCCTATGTACTGTCAATTTATCTTCTTCGGGCAACTCATCAATTCCCATAACACCAAAACCTTTGGCGGAATCCGCTAGACTTCAGGACATGTCCAAATCTCGGGTCATTTGTCGATTTCCATTGGACCAATGTGGCTGTCTCTTAAAATGGGACCCTCAAAATCGGCTTCAGTTGTCCTTTTTGGGTTCCCTTGAGCCAAACCCCAAACAGAGGACCATCCAAAAAAAGGCCGAGCCACCCAATTCTTGGCCTGGGCGGGAGGGAATTGGGGGGTCGAATTGTCGCGCCTGAAGGGCGCATAATACAGCTCCCACTTGCTGCGCTCCGATGCATGCGCGTCCATGAGCATACGTTTCGTCTCCTGGCCGAAGGCTTTCGCTACGATCAACCAAGAAGTTCTTTAGCACACGTCCCAAGTGGCTTGGCCTTTCTGCCGAGAAGGTCCAGCTTTTTCTTGGACCCTTGCTTCAACATCCTCATTTGTGTGTGTTTGTTGATGGACTATGATGGACTTCCTTGAAATGCCCGGTTTGCCCGTTGGCTTCCTGTAAAACCAGCTTCAAGGCTCCCGAGGGGACGAGCTTTCTGGGTTCCCATGCCTCCCTTGGGTGGCCAAGCTCCGAAAACCGGGTCTACGAGCCGATTTCCGTGGTTTCAAAGGGAACCCACAATCTGGTGCAAGGATACCCTTGATTTTGAACAGCTCAGCCTCAGGTGCTCAGGTGGGTTCGTCTTCCACCCCCCCCCCCGGCCGGCAACAGTTAATCTTTGCTTGCCCGTGGAAAGTCAATTGGCAAGCCAAACGTGCGGGGATGTCCTACGGATACCTTTGGGATGGTGTTCAAAGGGCCAAAAGTTGCTCAAGCTTGCCATCCAGTAGTGTTGAGACGACGGCTGTGTGTAGGGTAAACCTATTGGGGTTGAGCTGGGTCAGGAGTCACTTGTTCGATAGCTTTGTTTATGTAAAGCCCACGGATCCATCATACTTAGAGTGCGTGCATTGAAAAACAAAGCTTGCCTCTCCCAAAACCATAGGTGAAAACAAGAACACACTTCGCTTTTCACACCAAACACTTGCTACAATGACCGGCTCAAGCTGAAAAACCATCAACACCTCCCCTGTAAGCGCCTTTTCTCTATATTTTTCCCCCTGGGCAGTTCAGTGGGTATGTGCCAAAAAAGGGGGCTATGCGGCGGCGGCTGCCCAGCTTTCCGGCTGGAGCTTGGCTCCTGCTCGTTGAAGGCAAAGTGCTTGGCCACGGCCATCACGCCCTGGTCCTGAAACAGATGGCGGGCAGCTTGCTTGGAGCAAAAAAATATCAAAAAACCCTTCCCCCCCCCCCCGAGAGGAAACAACAACAACAACAACAACAACAACAACAACAACAACAACAACAACAACAACAACTACCCCACCCCACCCCCCCCAACCTCTCAACCTTAACTTCCCCCCCTAGGTCCAAGCCAGACCCCACCTTGCACGCCTTCTTTGGAGGAATCTAGGGCAGGAGTTAGGGGAGAGGGATGTTGGTCCTGGGGCTGTGGGGCCTAGTTGCACCTTACCTCAAATTCTGGGTTTGGGCTGGACGGGTGCGAGTCGAACATACTTTTGGGCAAGGGGCGCACCTCCCCAAGCCAGTGCCGGAGAGTTCCCAGCTCGCGCCTCGTGAGAAAAAACTTTATCCAAGCAGGACAAAAGGGCGGTGCCTGAGAACCAACCAATCAAAAAACAAACAAACATATAAACATAAATTCAGAAAACAAAAAAACATAAACATATCACCGTTCCAAGACATGTGAGCTCGCATATGTCAAGGTTGGAGCTTTGAGCTAATTCTGATTGTGTGTGATTCATGCCGCCGCACCTGGACTCCTTTCACGTAGGCAGCTGTCAGTCGGGCGCCCAAGTGCCCATCCTGCGAAGAGCAACCAGGCCGGAAACGAATGAGGTAAGTTTCATAGTTGGTTCATCTGCATTTCGAACATGATTATGGGGGTGTTCTTTTTGTTAGGGGGACCCCAAAGTGTTCTTTTGGTTTCTCTGTAAACCAACCCTAAAAAGGGTGCCCTCAATTATATACGGTTGATTGGTCGTTTTATTTTTCGAGGCAGCTAGGTGATTTGCAATATCTGAAGCTTTGGGCTTGTCTGCCTTTTCTGGGCCTGCAAATCCTATGATGCATGTGCATCATGTTCAATTCAGTCGCTGCCAGGTTGGGAAATTTCCGTGGGCACCTGAGAACTACAAGCATGGCATCCCATAGAACACTGCAAACAACATCTTGCCCATCTATGGCAGGCCTTCCAAGCAACCCTATGGCACTTTCCATAGGAAGCTGGCGGTCAGCAGTGGGGTGAGGGGTGCCCAGTCTCCATTTCTCCAGCCTTCAGTACAAGTGAAGGGGGTCGAAGTCTCCCCTGCCCCAATTCCAGAGAAACAGCAAGCCACCCATGCGGGGTCCACATCCCAATTCACATGTTGCCCCCCCAGGCCTCCCTTTGACTTGGGACTTCTTGGGACCCGAGGGCCTCCCCGGAGAGGTACTCGAAGTTCCGGCCCCCCGCCGCCACGCGATGCACGTTGATGGAGGGGCCCAGCACCACGTTGGCGCCTTTGCCCTCGGGCGCCACTGCCCTCTCAACCGGCAAGCCTGCTTTGTCGGGTTTTCGGGGAGACCCCACCTAACATGTTCAGCGCTCAAGGAAAAAGGCGGACACCCATCTGGAAGGCCCCCTTGTGTGACACATACCAAGCTTTGGAGAAACGAACCGGTAGGCTAGGGGGAGGATTGGCAAATCCCGATTCGCTCATGGGTTCTTCTGACTCACCCTAGCTGGGAGTTAAACAAGGAGTTCCGGCAAAAATGACGAACAACATTCCCGTTGGTTTCGTGTTTGGAAATTAAACACTACTTGTTTGCTCTGTGCCGGAGATTCAACACTACTGTACATGTTGTTTGTTTGCCTGCTGCATGCCAAAGAACAAACAAACATGGGTTCTTCTCATACAACTGCCCCGTTTCCGGTATTGAAGCCCGGCGTCTTGGTCAAGATTCCGATTTACTTCCAACTTCGACGCCAACCCAAGCCACTACTCCGGTGACCTCAAAACCCTTTCGCGCCGTCAAACGCCCACCCCCCCCCCCCCCCGGGCGGCTTCCACGTTTTTCACCGTTTCGATCGCCGCTTCCGACGGCTTCCGACGGCGTGCCTTGAACTCCGTGGCGATGGCTGCGGCGACGAGCTCCACCAACTCTTCGTCCCAAGTGGAGGCCAAGGCCAACATGCCTCACGGGAGGTGTCCTCTTTCAGCCAAGGCCCCTGTCAAGGCAATCAACGGATCAAACCAATCAACCCAATCAATTCGTTCATTCAGGCAATCAGACAATAAAACAAACATTCGTTCATTCAACCATTCGTTCATTCAACCAACCAACCAACCAACCAACCAACCAACCAAACCAACCAACCAACCAACCAAACCAACCAACCAACCAACCAACCAACCAACCAACCAACCAACCAACCAACCAACCAAGCAACCAAGCAACCAAGCAACCAAGCAACCAAGCAAGCAACCAAGCAACCAAGCAACCAAGCAACCAAGCAACCAAGCAACCAAGCAACCAAGCAACCAAACCCCTAGGTTTCAAGGATCCAGTTCGAACTCCTCAGAGTGTCGACAGGACTTTGTGACACATCTGACCGCCCACCACGCAACCCCTTACGAGTGCTCAAGCCATGCGTAACAAACGTCTGGTGTTTTTTTTCTACGGGGCCAGGCGCTGGTTAAACTGTACTTGGGGATGCGTCAAGATAGGGGCACCCCGAAATGGATGCCGGGATTCATTTCGGTTTTCACCCTGAAAAGTGCACCCTCTAACAAAACAACCATTTTGCATCCAATGCTTCCCACGTGGCCCCTTGGCTCAACTGTAAAGCAACATCCTGGAAATTACCTCTCAAATGGTGGTTTCAAACACACACCACCGGGAGCCGCAAGTTGGTTGGAGAACTCAAAATGGCTGCTGTGCCCTTGTAGAGACCCGTTTTGCTAGGCCCTACAAGGGCAAACTGAGCACTTCAACCCCTAAAGCTTCGAGGGCCCAGGCGTCGATCCATCCCACTCCGAGTTTTCCAGCTTCCCCTCGAGTCCCTAAAAGGGGCGGTACCCCCAACAAACGTACGCAAAGATTTCCCCCCCCCATTTCCCTGCCCACCTTTTTACCCCCCCTCATTCCCCCCATTCCCCCCCCATTCCCCCCCCATTCCCCCCCCCCCCCAGCTCCTTTGGCCCAACCGCCCCCCCCCTCTCCCCCTCCATCCCACGTCCGTCTGCCACGCGGCAGGGGAAGGCGGTGGTGGTGCCTCCGGTCTTGGGCTCCGTGGCGCGGAAGCCCTGGCCGGCGTCCTGCATCTTCAGCGCCGGCAAGCCCAGCCTCCAGTCGTCTCGTCCACTCGCGACTCGCGGCGGGGAAGGGAGAAGGGACGGGTCAAGAGATCGACTGCTGGGGGCGGGGGGGAGGGGGGGGGAGGGGGGAGAAGGGGAGGAGGTCAGGGGGGGGGAGGGGGTGAGGGGGGGGAGGGGCCAACTGTAAGTTGGCTGTGCCTAGGTAAGAGCAGTGAGTAGCTTGCAACAAAAATAAGTTGCAAAGGGACTACGCAGGTTACTAAGAAGTCTAGGTTGGTTATAATCTGGGTGAGGGGACTAAGCCGAGGTACCGTGGCACCCCGGCGATGTTGCCCACGTAGTAGCCCGCATCCGGCTCGCCCGTCACCGCGAAATGCTCGCCTTTGCTATGAGAAATCGGGAAAGAAAAAAAATGGACCCCTTTGAGAACAAGGGGCTGTCTCCCAATCAGAGAACCCCGAAAACTGAGCACAAAGGGTTGTCTTTAACCAGGAATCCCCGAGATCGGCGGTTCGCCGCTGGCTTTAGGCCTAAACAATAGTACGCAAAGCAGCTGGGAACCCCTTTTGATTTCTATTGGCCAGGAAACCTCCCGGAGCTTTAGTCACCTAGAGAGTACTTAGATTGTGAATATTTGCCTGGTAGCTGCCATGCAGAGATGGCAATCTCTTTCGAACACTTGGTATATCAGAAATGTGGTTTGTTGTCTGAAGCAGCCGGCACCGCAGCAAACGAATCGGGGGTTAACCAGCTTTTCAATATGCCAAGACTTCAAACACAGTGAATGATGAGTTTTTGCCCACCAATCATGCTGAATGTGCTCTGACATCAAATATGAACAGTTCTAAGGTATAAATATAGGAATACACGTGATACACAATACTTGCTCTTCATCCTCTCCCCCCTTGGTCACGAGTCTTAGGACGAGAAAGGGAGCGAGATAAGGAGACTCATGTCTTTCACCTACAACGTATGGAGAACGAAAGACAAGGCTTTATTTGTCCTCTCTTCATCTCAGCTCCCATCTCGCAAGTAGTCAAATCAATCCACCCTGCACTGACCCCAAGTACTCACCTAAGGCAAGCTACTTAAGTCCACTGGGAAAATCAAACAAACGGAAACATGAAAACATTCTCTGAAGCAAATTGCAGAATTGGTGGCTTGAACACCTGAAAAAGATCGTGATAGATTCCCGTAATAAAAAAGGGAAACAACAAAACATGCTCTTGAGCAAATGGAAGGAAGTACCACTGCAAGCTACCCCACCTCTTCCCCAAAAAGCCTCCAGCCTCCCATGGCCACGGCTCCCAACCCCCAGCTGGACCCCCAGACCCCACGCATGCCTCGCAGCAGTTGGTGGAGCTCCGGCGCGGAGAGCTGCGGCACCAGCTCCGCCGCCTTGTCCCTGGCCTCGCGGCGATCGAAGTTTTTTCCTCTCGTGGCGGCGCGAGAGGGGGCGGGAGATGGGCGCGAGGGGGGGAGATGGGCCCTGCAGCCCTGATTGAAATGGAGCCTGAGAAATCTGAGGAGAACAAAAACCATCGATGACTGGTGGTTGTTTTTTTGTGAATTTTCCCCCGTAGGGTGAACCAAAGCCTGGCTATCTTGTTTCCCACACTCCCTACGATAACTGGCGATTCTTCCGTACTGGCTTTTTATGTTATTTTACCATGATCAAGAAAGGGAAACAACCCCATGTTCTGACTTTGACAACCACCAGAAACCGTCAAAATAATGACCCCAGCCGTAGGGTAAACCACAGCCTGGGTGATTGTTTCCCACATTCCCTGAGCACCAAGAAAACTCAAGCGCATGCGGGCGTTTCTGCTGGTTTCCCTTTAAACAAGGTGAAGCAGGGGGGCAGGAGACCAACTGGAAAAATGGAAGCCTGATTCATCCGCTTGGGGTAAGACTATGGGCGAGTCAGCACCCAGTGGAAACAAAAGGTGTCTGTCTGGCAAGGCCAACCCAAACTGAAGGGAATCAACACCTCAGTTTTTGGCGGACGCCAGCCTTGTAACCAGCCCCGGAAGGCAGAAGGAGGGCAAACCATGTCGGAAACTCAGCTATAAGAAGACAGACCAGTTTTTGGACGGTCCTGGTTGCCCTTCCCAGTGACACTCGAAAATAAAGGTTGCCTTTGCGAACCTATCCGGCACGAAGGGATTTAGGACCAGAGCAAATAAATCGGCAATAAAGGTCACACTACTTCATCTTTAGGGATTCGGCGCGACCTCTCACGTTCTTTTTCGGCCAATGGCCACGTTCCTCGCTTTCTTTGGGGCATGGCTGATGAATGTGTGTTCCGTGGTGGCAACTACAGCCAAGGGAAGTACCTCTTATGTTCATCCGCATATCTGTCCGACCACCCCCAACCTGTTTTAGGAAAAAATCCAGGGACCCGCTACACCCTCCGTGAGGCTCCTTGCCGACAAGTTCGGCTCAACCTCCACCCACGTCATTCCATGAGCCGTTCCAAGTTCCACGCCTCGTCCCAGGTCCGCACCTTTCGGGACTTGCGCAGCTGAAGCTGCCTGACATCCCAAAGCGCGCGGGGGATCCCCGGTTCGCCTCACCTCCCGAGCTTGGCTGAAACGTGTTTGAACTTTGGGATACTTGGGGCTTGCACCTGAAAGGGTCTTGCAGAAGTTAGAAGCCCAGGAACTGGGAGGAAGGTGCACATTGGAAGGCCTGTGCTCGATGATCAGAAAGGAGGCAAAGCTTCTACGGTTCGGACTACCCTCTAAGCGTCCAATGGGTGCGGATCCATTTGGCTGGCCTCAGGCAAATCGACCATGATAGCTCCCAACATAAGCCATGGATCTCAAATTGCTTGTGAGTGTGACATGCTTGGGCAGCACCAGTGGTCTTGTGGGGGCGTGGCTCGTGCACTCGCCAGGCCTTTTTGCCCTCCTCCCCCCCTTCCCCGGCCTTTGAACCAGCTGCAGGTGAGGGGTGTCCTGAACTTGGACCCATGGACCACCCCTCGATGCAACAAAATATATCCGTTTGCATTTTTTTTTGGGGGGTGGGGTGGGGGTTCAGGTAGACTTGCCAGTGGGTTCTAGGATGCCACGCGCATGTGATGCAAGCCTTCAGCCTGTTTGTTAGAACTCATTTTGGCCGTGAAAGGCTGCTCGAATCCGGCAGCACAGTTGAGTCACAAGCCGGTGGCCACCATTTGGCCATTGTCAAGACCAAAAAACTGGCTACGGACTTTCTCGAAAGTGCGGAACAAGAAATGATGACAACTGTCATTGGGAGGGCGTTGCCCGGTGGCGAACAATGGCGAGCAGCTAGCCCGTCTGGGGCTGGCGATTTGGTCACTTGGAGTAAGGAAACCAGCACGAGAACTGGAAAAACGCATCGCCACAGAGCTGGGGCAGCCTGCGCCTTCACACCCCAAGCCTGGGGTAAACCAACAAGTGCGCCCAGATTCTGCTTCTTATTTCGTCCACCCTAAAATTCGCAAACTGACTTATTGATGACCCCAGAACTAAAAGCGTGGAGCGAATGGACACCGAAAAGACTGGCCCGGCATGTTGGGCCCATCTGATCTTGAGACCTGGCCCTGACGTTTTGCAGACCAAAACCGTCCTGCGCGTCTTTGCTCCAGTCGCACCGCTCGGCCGACAGAAGCGGCACGAGGAGCCAAAGCCGGGAGGGCGCCATGGGAAGGGGCGGGCCTCGGCGGGCGCTGAGGCTGCGACCCCCCATGGTGCCTGTGGGTCGGGCGCCATGTCAGCGGGAGGGTAAGTGCAAAAACACACAGTAGAGAGGTTAGGGTGAAGGGTACCCTTTTGTTGTGGTCTATTTTAGTAGGGGAACCCGCCCCAAAAAAGGGTAAAAGGGCACTACTAAGGGGGACCTAGCATAGCCATGATTCCACGGGCATCCACATGATTGGAACTAGACTGAAAACCAGTAGAAATCGAAAGACTCCACTGATTGTTCTTCCGAACTGACCGCAAAAGGGCACCTATGCCAGAGCCTCTTCCCTAAAAAAGGAAACTGGAGTGCTGCATTCACAGATCTGCAGGTTTTCTCACGCCGGCAAGGAACAACTCCGGGAGTCCTCAAATCGCGGCCCCTTTTTGGACGCGGCCGCGCTTTTTTTGGGTCACTTGCTCGCTCTCATGCATCCAAAGTGCCCCCCCCCACGCACGGACCTGAGGTGCAGACCCCAAGGCGAATATGAAGAACGGTTCGCTTGGCTACAAGCTTGCAGCGGCGGCGATGCACAAAGGGTGTTAGTCATAGGTGTCCTTTTGGATTTTTTTTTTCACGGGTCTGGTACATGGGGCAGAAAGCCAGAATCTAAACCAGTGCCATCTATGTCGCAAGCCGAGCCAATCTGAAAAGGACACTTATGGGCTCTACTTTCTTGAAGGCAAGTGCAAAGTTCCTTGACTGCTCTCGCGGGGCTCCACGTAGGTGATTGTTGCGCAAGACTCCGCGTGGAATGTTCAACTGGACAAGTGCTGCCTATTCAAGACTCGCTTGTTGCAACATGCAAACACAGAGGTTCACACAACTGGGGCCATGACAAAGCATGGGCCAACTCTGATTGAGTGCAGACATGGGTGTCAAATAGGGGGTCACGGGCCAAGCTCTTGAGTTTGGCCATTAGGCCATGGATATGGAGCATGCGGATTTTAGGTCCGAAGCTTTGCTTAAGCGCTGCCCCCGCCATAGCTCATAGCCAAGTCAGAAAGAAAGCCAGCACAGCTTCACACCAGCCTGCGCTCATCGCGCTGCGGGACTTCATCTCTGAGTCCTTGGGGATGGTTCAGCGTGAACATTAAAGGGGTCTGTTTCAATCGTGTTGACGAAAGCTACATCTAGGAATTGACCTCTTTACTCGATTTTTGTTTTGGTACAAGTGGGATATCACATGTTGGTCCATTTTGCTGCAGCTTACGATTGCTTTATCTAAACTTATTCCGATCGTTTCTAAGGATAAACTGATGGCAAGTGCTGAGGTTTGGGTTGCGACATCTTTGGATGGAACTTTTTCCACGCCTGAGATTCTGAAGCAGCCTTCTGGTATGGCACACCTGCGCTGCCTAGGAGCGCGGTGTGACAGTGCTTTGTTGCATCAAGGCTCCGGACTCAGTTGGGCACATTGCGACACCGGCAACTCACAAAAAGAGGCGGGATCCATCTGCAAGTCTTACACCATGAATATGTCCCTGTAAGGGATCCAGCAAAGGATCTTACCATGGTGAGCTCGCATCTCAGGTCAGCTCGCCGGAAATTCTGCAGATCGAGCATAAGGCATAAGCATGAAATGTAGCTTGTGGCCAAGGTGGCCCCGGTCTCCATCAGTCACCCCTTGAAAACGCCCAATCACCCCACCCCTAAGCACACTGCGGAGAAGACTCACAAACCGAAACAAGGGGATTGGTGTGTTTGGGGGAGGGGGGGTGACGTGCTGTTTTGGGGGTGCTCGGGGCATGTTTATGAAGAACTCGGCTCGGGTGTAAACAACAATTGCTTAAACACTGCCCTACCAGGATAATTGCCTCCAGCTGCACAAGTCCCCGAACCAAAACATGTCCAGTGATAGATCCCTTTACAACCAACGAGGGAAAACGAAACATGTTTGTTTCAGCAATTTCAAGATGGAAACCCACGAACCTACCCACCCACCCACCCACACACCCACCCACCCACCAACCAACCAACCAACAACCAACCAACAACCAACCAAAGAATGACATAAGTAACCAGAATGCAACCCTGGCAAATAAAAACAAGGACTCAAACCTGCGGTCCCCCGAGTCCCCCGGTTGTTTCATTTTGACCCATACCCAAATAAGTGACCAGAAAACCCAACAACCAAACATAAACCAGGGCAATTCTAAGCCCAAGCCCAGGCGAAACGAGATCTCAAGCTGAGCCAAAGGCCGTTGGGGTGCGGATCAGGTCGCTGATGGAGCCCGGCGGGGCCGGCCTAGTGCTTTCGCTCCCGGTGAAGAGCCAGTGGTTGCGCCTCAAAGGTCCTAAAGAATACTGCCTTTAACAATATGCACACATACATGCATATGTATTTACATGTGCATCTACATATACATATGTCATATAGAATATACATATAATCTGTCTAAACCAAATCAAACCTTACAACGCAATCCTCTTAATGAGCACTACCCCCCAAACCCTGAAATGGGTAGTTGCTTGAGGTAGCGGGAAATCCTGGGACAGTAAGGCAAGGGAAGATCAGCTACATGTGGGTGCATGTTGTGGCACCAACCTATGATCGGCACGGTTAGCGCATAAAAGTGTGCTACGACTAAAAGCAGTTGTGCAGGGATATGCCTCATGTGTAAACAACGTTCATGTATGATTTCGATATATGCACGTGTGTAGCATTCAAAGACTCAGATGAGTAGGTGTAGCCATGCATAAACATGTTAGTGTAGACATGCCTATACATGTACACACACACACACGCCCGCACATGCACGATGTGCGTGTGTGCGTGTGTGCGTGTGTGCGTGTGCGTGTGCGTGTGCGTGTGCGTGTGCGTGTGCGCGCGTGCCTAGCGATATAATGCACGTAAGCATGCATACATTTACAATTACATTGTTATAACAACAAAACATACAAACTCCACATCTCTCAGAAACCTGATTCACGGTCGTCGCCCTCGTAGCAAACACCACAACTTCAACCGGTGGTCGGCACAATGCCTCTTGAGAAGACATGCTATCCGGAAACCCTATTGGAGCAACCAAATGCTAAATGCCGTCAACATGTCGTTAAGCACAGCTGCAACATGAGTGTGCAACCAGCTTTACAGCTCAAGTAACGCGTCCTAAAACTGATCCGATCAGCTGAGTGCAGTAGCATGCTTGTTGTTTTGGGCTTCACTAAATATCAGACAGTGCGAACTGAACCGGTACTGAAGGCGAAACAAGAGCTTTGCTGATCCTCGAAAGAAACAACGCGGTATTTGCGAAGGACACCAAGTCAGGTCATGATTCTCCCTTAGTGATAGATTCCCTAAAAAAATGAAGAGACAATAACACATATTCTGAAGCAAATGGAAGTGAGTGATTTTAGCTCACCAACATAAGAAAGCTTTGACAGCTCGCTAGATTTCCTTGCCAGTCGCCAAGCTGGGCTGAAGGCCCTTCGGGCTGAGGGCGACGGGCGGTTTCTTGGGGCCCCAGACTTGCAGTCCCCGGAGAAGGATACTCGTTTTTGACGGTGCCTCGCGTGCGCCATGGACGTTCGGAAACTCCCTCCCCTTGGGGGGGGAAATTGCTTCTGACCGCGTGGGTTGCTTGGACTAAGATCCCATTCCTTGGACAAAGATCCCATTGCCGGGAAAGTGGTCCCAAGCACCAAGTCCAGGACACAGGGAGAGAAAATGAGCTTGCGATCAACCTCCCGTCAGGTTTATTCGTGTTCGGGCTGCTCTTGGCAATAAGGCGCTTCAAGACAATGAAAGCTGGCAGCCCAAGCTTGGCGGGACTAGTTTCAACATACCCCGGAGGTGCTCAAGCCCGAGCAACAAAGAACTTTGGTTTACCGAGTTGCCAATGGAAACAGTTGTCAACTTAGGTACCGCCAACAATGATGCTGCCTCGCAGGATGTATCTTCATCACATATTTGTATATACTTGTCGGTTGTGGTGAATGGGCATGGAATTCGTCCAAGGCTTGCCGCCCTCTGTGGTTGAATCTGTCAGTGAGGATTAACCGGCACAAATTACTGCCCCGTTGTGGAAACTTGGGGTGCCCCAGAACAAACATAGTTGTCATGGTCAGCCTCCCTATTTATAAATGCACCCAGTTAATAAATGATATTTTTGCAGACTCCAAACCAATACTAACAAACAAAAACCAATACTAAACCAGTTCTAAAGGAGCAAATTTCCCGCCGACACCAAACCAGTCTCGTTAGGGGACATTTGCGGTACAGAACCAAATTTCAACCAATGCGGAAAAAAATGACTTAGATTTCCGCCGATTGAATTCCACCGTTTCGAATGAACTTTAAGACTGAAATTTCCCCATTTGGACAAGGATCGCAGCGGCACCCCCCCCCCCCTGCGGCAGAAATGGACCCTATGAATAAATCTGTGTTGGGCTCCAGGCAATATGCAAACTGATGACTTGATGAACCTTGCAAGAAGAATTGTGGCAAGTGCACTGCTCCAACGCAGGAAACCCACACCAACCTCGAGACTTCAAACCAAAATTCGGGGACTTGACTTGTCCAGACGGACCCCGAGCTGGCAGCTTGGCCGCTAAGAAAACGCCCCGCAACTCAGCGTGTCATAAGGCCGTTTTTGCAGCGGCTTCTTTTTGACACGAGACATCCCAACCGCTCAGCATCCCGCAAAACTTGCACGGGGGTGATTTCTGAAAGATGGCAGGGGAATGGCCAGGCCAAAATGTAGGAACTCGGCCATCTTCTTTCACTGCAAACAAATCGTGTGCTTGAACGTCCTCGCGCCTCCCCGTCCTTTCCCCGCTCTCTCGCGAGAGTGAGGTCCGCAAAATAGACCGCATCATGCCTGGGGTTGGAAGGTACTTGGCATCAACACCCCCTCATGATTTCAATTAAACCCCATCATGACACCCATGATTGCACGTTAAATGTGCACTTTTGTGTAAAAATCATGGATCTTCACCTATTGCATTCTCTGGTTTATCACTAGCATGCGGAACAATGCATCCAAAGTCCCCACCCATGGCTGAGGTGCATGGCTTCCGCAAACTCGGCCTGATCTAATGCCCTCCATCGCTGAGTGCGCCACTAGAGTCTGTACCTCCGGCAGGCAAACAACCAACGCCACCCCGCCAGAACCGTTCCTAGAACCGTCCAGGCGGCTTGCGAGGGCTAGTCTGCAAATGTCCCTCCTAAGCAGGTGCATAAGTCTGCATAAGTTGCAAACCGGGCCGGCAAAAAGTGGGAGAGACTCTCAGAGCTCAATTGACTGCGGGCCCATGTTCTTTATATTTCTTCACCCGTGAGTTTCAAACACGGAAGCAATAAGCAACACGCCCACCCAATCTCGTCGCAAGTTGGTATGCACCATGGACATTCTATGCTCCCAGGTGGTTAAGAAAGCGCGCCACGTGCCCAAGTTCCGAGCCGCGGAGTTGGCATGTCACATCGTCATGTTGCGCCAGTCAAGCCACTGAAATAGAAAAAGTGAAGTGGGAAACAGCATGCCAATTCAGGGCCAAAGAAAACGGCCGAGCCAA